TTATTTAATAATAAATATTAATTATTTTATGAATTATTAATTATTTTTAACTACATAATTAAAATAAAAGTTTAATTGATTTAGTGACCCAATAAAAATGATAATAAGCACAACCATAACCATTACATTAAACCACCATGTGAGTCTTATCAATTTTTTTATAGTTATGGTTATGATTATTATTAAGTTTTTTAAAGTTATTAAAATTGTTAATTTTTTAATTTAATTATAAAAAAATAATTAATAATTAATAAAATAATTAATATTTATTATTTAATAAATTAAATTAAATTTGCAAATAATATTTTTAAATATTTAATAAAATTTTGCTGGCAATACTAGCCTCACCCTCCAATTGTCCAAATATATCATTATTAAAAAATAATTAATAATTAATAAAATAATTAATATTTATTATTTAATAAATTAAATTTAATTTGCAAATAATATTTTTAAATATTTAATAAAATTTTGCTGGCAATACTAGCCTCACCCTCCAATTGTCCAAATATATCATTATCTTCTCTGTTTATGGAAGAACCGAATAACACACAGATTACTCGAGACTGATTCTCAAATCTGAATTCTCAATGGATTCCGCCAAACTATGGCGTTTCATCTCCATCTACCTCTCCACCACCCTCGCCATTTTGCGTTACGCCCTCCACTGTTTCTCCACCCTCAACAGCCTACCCTCTTTGCTCTTCAAATCCATGGACACCGCTCTGTCTCTCTACTTCCGTTTCTGCGGCCTCTCTCCGTGTACCATTGATCTCGACGACCAGACCACAATGCACTTCTGGACTTCCAATCACCGCCGTTTCGATCGACCGGCACTCATCATGGTTCACGGCTACGGCGGCGCCTCAACCTGGCAATTCGTGCACCAGGTCGGGCCCCTGTCGCGGAAATTCAATCTCTATATTCCGGATTTGTTGTTCTTCGGTGAATCTTACTCCTGTAAGTCGGATCGGAGCGATTATTTCCAAGCGAGGTGCGTGGTGCGAGGGTTGAGAGGTTTGGGCGTGGAGAGATTCGCGGCGTACGGGATCAGTTACGGTGGATTCGTCGCGCACCGGATGGCGGAGATGTATCCCGACGCGGTGGAGAAACTCGTGATTGTAAACAGTGGGATTGGGTGGAGCGAGGAGCAGAGAGGAGAACAATTACAGAAAATCGGAAGGCATCCGGCGGAGATTTTCGTCCCCAAACACCCCAACGATCTGAGGCTGCTGGTGAATCTGTCAATGCACAAACCGAATTGGACCGGCTGGGCTCCTGATTTCTTGCTTCGCGAGTTCATCAACGTGAGTCAAATTTGGGAGTAATAATCAAAATTATTCACAAATTAACAGTTCAGATTAACTCATAAATACGTTTCAGGTGATGTATAATCATTGCCGAAAAGAGAAGATAGAGCTGATAGAGCATTTGCTACAGAAACAACCAGATTCCAATATTCCTGTTATAACTCAGGTAACCAGTTTCAAACATTAAAATTTTCCTCACTTTTGACCCAATAAAATTTTCCTCACTTGGTTATTTGTCAGATAGTTTTTCAAAATTTTCATCTAGCACATATAGCCCAACATAAGTGCTCTTGATGTTATTTAAGAATTTGAAATTTGAAATTAAAATTTTAAATTTAATTTTAGAAGGAAGAGTGTTATTTCCATTGGATATAATTCATACCATGTAATAGCAGAAATAATTTGTCTTTACGAAAATAATAATAATAATAATTTTTGTCCAGTCTAGGTCTTTGAATGAGTGAGACTCACGTTGGATCCCACTCAGGCCAAGGCCATCATGTTGTAGTCACGAGCAAAACATCGGAACAAAAAATCATCATTCTTAGTATCTAGAGTAGTTAGTTAGGAAAGAAATATGATTCAGTTCAGATTATATATCTAATTACTTAACTTAAAATTATTGAATAGGGACTATCGTAATATTAAGGTTGTGTCTCATTTAACTATTCTTGTTTGGATATAATAATACAAATAGTTTACTAAATATAAGAGATTAATACAAGGCAAAGCTAAAGTCTATACACAAAAAATTTGAGACCTTATTTTAAAATTTTCGTTAAAGTTTTTTTAGCAGTAGTAATTTTGGGATGGGGGAAATGGCTCGAACCTGGCAAAGTCTTCCGGACCATACTGGGTGCACTTAAATACCAGTCACCCTAACATGGCGTGTGCCGTCTTTGCTTTATATTTTTTTTGGCCGGATGGAGGATAAACTAAATGAAGTAATTCTAAACACATGAATTTATGTGACAATATTTAAGATAAATTCCAAATTTAAAATTCACATTGCATTTTATGATTAGAGTGTTATTATTTTGGGTGAAGGAAACACTGCTGATTTGGGGGGATCAGGATAAGGTATTCCCAGTAGAAATTGCCCAAGACATACACAGGTAAATCATTCCGAACAGTGATTTTTTAGCTTTAATGTTTGGGTTTGAAGTTTTTAATAACATGTTTTGAAGAATACAGGCATTTGGAACAAAAATCAAGGCTGGAAATAATCAAGGACACAGGGCATGGTGCAAATATGGAATCGCCTGATGCAGTGAATAGTTTGATAATTTCGTTTGTTTCAGGTTCTCCTAATTCCTAGGTACTATATGGTTTTGTAATTTGGACATAAATTTGAATAACCTTAAACTAATTGAGTAGAATTTTAACTTGTGTTACCGCTGATTTCCTTAGTTTTGGATTCTTAATACCCATTCTCACCATACTATTATTATCACAAGTAAAAAAACTGACACTCATTTTAACTAACAATAAAGCAACTTCAAATTTAGTTGGGTTGCACCAAATAAAACCTTCCGTTTGGTATCACTTTGGATTTATGATTTTTTTATTATTATTATTCTAAAGGCACAGAACTAAAGATGAAAAAGTGAAATTTCATAACAAGGACACAAAGAGTTAAAGTTTTAGTTTTAGGTTTAAATCTTAAGATAAATGAAAAAGGACTTGAGTGTTAAAATCTAAAATTAAACCAACAAAGGAAAATAATTTCGTTTTCCAAATCCATCCCATTTTGTGTTATGTAAATTGCCCTAACGGTGCCTAAAAAGGATAATAGTAAGATTGACTCAACTAAGTCATTTCTTCTTATCGTTCCCTTTACTGTAATTTTCATCCCAAATAAAATAAGTTCTTCAATATCATTTTCACATCATTTAAGGCTTTTTCTGGCGTAATCATTGTGTATTATAGGTAAAAGCAATTTTGCCCTTGTTCTAGTTTTGGGTATGTGATTTACAATAATAAAATTTTTTATTTTACCACTAACGCAACAATGCATAAGGAAGAAGTAACGAGCGATGTTTGCTTGAATAAAATGTCATAAGAAAAGGTAAGATAGCATTCACAATAACTTAAGAAGCCAACTTGGCAATACATTAACCAAAAAAAAAAAAAAATTATTACACATAATTAGGTTAATTCTTTTACTTAACTTTCTATAATACCAAAGAAAGTTCGTGACTTAAAAAATGGAGTTTTTTTTTTTTTTTTTAATTTTTATAATACCCCTTTGCCGATAGGTTAAAACTTACTTTTTAATCTTTTACCTTAATAAATTTGTAAGTTTTAACCCATCACCTTATATTATAACATTTTTAATCTTTTATCTTAATAAATTTATAGATTTTAACCAATTACTTTATATTATGACATTTTTAACCCCTCATGGATGTGAGTTAAAGAAAATAACCCTTACTTAAGATTATGTTATAACATTCTGTTAGTTTTGTTAGCTGACTGTTAACTCTATTAATTGATTGTTGGCATTCCATTAGCATTCCATTAATGAAATTAATAAATAAAATTGAATTTAGATTTCATGTTTTCTGTAACGGAATACTAATAAATGCTAACAGTCAATTAATAGAGTTAATAGTTAGTTAATAGTACTAACATAATGTTATAATTTGACTTTAAATAAATGTTATTTTCTTCAACTCGTATAAGTGAGAGGTTAAAAATGTTATATTATAAGGTGGGGGTTAAAACTTATAAATTTATTAAGGTAAATTGCTAAAAGTGTTATAATATAAGATAAGAGGTTAAAACTTATAAATTTATTAAAGTAAATGGTTAAAAATGTTATAATATAAGATAAGAGATTAAAATTTATAAATTTATTAAAGTAAAATGTTAAAAATAAGTTTTTACCCTTGTCAATGATACGAACTAGGAGGCTTTTTTTTCTCCTTTTTTTTTTTCCTTTTTTTTTTTCTAATTCGACTAATAAAACCATATTCCAAAGTTTTTTTATCTTTTTACCAAAAACAAACTTTTTATTATGAAAAAAAAAATCACCCACCCTAATGAGCAATGGCCTAACCACTGGAGATTTGGAGGAACCGAGGAAGATCGAAGTGGGTTTTTTAACGGTTGGGTTTGGGTCTAACCCAACAGAAGATAAACCGTCCATCTTAAAAAGTGATGATCCGACCCGTGATACTGACCGTGACCCGATGACCCATAAAATATAGATCACCTTGCCTCCCAGCTCCCACACACTCAAGTACAGCTGAAGAAAACCGCCATTTCAGCCCTCAGTACTCCCCAGTCACCATAACCGTTTCAATTCCCAGACCTATCCAGCCACAGCTTAAATCTAAGGCAACCACCGGTTTCCGGAACTTTCTCTCCAACTCCTCCACCGCCACATAACCTCGCTTTACTCGTGCAAGTGACGTGACGGCTACTGATGTGAAGTTGAGGAGATGTCCTCGGCGGATCAATTTTTCTCCATATACGCATTAGACGGCGCCCTATTCGGCGTGGTCCTTGCATGCGGTGCTGTTCGTGCTTTCCAAAAGTTTAGGTCTGACTCCGCCGCTCTCCTTAAAATCCAGAAAGCTCCGTCCATCCACATCGGCGACCTCCGCAGCGTCATCAACTCTGAGCAATCTGAGTCGTCTGGTGAACCTCTCGTCGTCGTACGTGGAACCGTCGACGTGAAATCAGTTGTGGAGGGCGGGAGCTGGAAGAGTCCTACTAGATCTGACGCACTACTCTTAGAAGAGACCGGAGACAAGGCAGTCATTATTCAGAGTATGCAAACAGTGAGTGCAGCATCTTTTAAAGTATTTAGTAAGTTTTCATGTTGGAAATAATACCTCTGATACATACCATATAGCAATGTTAATTTTCGTGTTTAATTTTGTTATTTTTAATTTCTCTCTTTCTGCTCTGTTTAGTGGCTAGGAAAGTAGGAATGCCAAAAAATGATCAGTGTGGTATTTGTTTTATTGGTATTCTAGATAAGAATCGATTTATGTACTTCATACTGATTGTTATTTAGTCTGTATGTATGACTTTCGAGGGTAAAAATGAAAGGAATTCTTGTTGAAGATGCTAAACCTATTCAAGAAGCAATGGCGTTAGAATGACTGTTTGGTTTTATTTTTTAAGCGAATATTTTAGAGTTAAGAATTTTACATTATTTTGTCAATAGTTGTAGCTTAAGTGGGACTGTTGATGCATGATACTTGAGGTTTGCGTGGTCATATAATTAGAATTGCATTCTTATTTGCAATCTGGCTGAAATTAGCTTTGTTTGGTACATTTTGATGCATTTCTTGTTTTATGGAAACTTTTATCCTGTATTTGATGCTACATGTTGGACGTTGGAGGGTAGCTTGCTGTTAGTCTTTGCAGAAGCAAAATGTGTGTCTAGAAATGTAGATGGCTAAATATCTGTCTTAGTCTATATATTCTCATCTTTGGAAAAAAAGAAAAAGGTACGCCCTGATGCTTGTATAATTCATAAAGCCATTGGGGTGGAATGGTTTTAATGATTCCATGCTGAAAAAGTTAAAATGGTCCAGGTAATTTTGCATATTCTACAATAACAGGCACAAGATTTCTCTGTTCTTTTAGGAGAGATGCAACTATTTCTCATCAACCAATGAAGCTCAATCTACCAGATTTCTGTGTTTGTTTACCTTGAATATTTCTTATTGTTAGAGAGTTAGGCTTTTTGACTTTTGTGCTATCTAGTTGACTTAAGAAGTCAATTACATGGTATTTGGTGTCATTGTACTCTGCTGTTGTTCTAGTGGCCTCTAGTTATTTTAGTATGCCATTGTCTTGATATGGAGTGGAATTTAACTATATGTTATTGTTTTTTTTTTCTTTTTTCTTTTTTCTTTTTTGTGTTTGTTTTTTGTGGATTTTTCTGGTTGTTAGCTAAGTGCTTTTATATATATATATATATATAGGATTGAGGAAAACCAGGACCCCCTGGCAATTAAAATGCCAGGACTGATGAAAGAAAGACTAAAATACCCTTAATGAATCAACACACAAAAAAATTTATCAAGAGTATTTGAACAAATTCACAAGGAGTCTTGGCATTTAAAGTGTTAGGACAATCTTTTCTGGTTTTAATAAAGACTTGAAAATGTTTAACAACTAGTAAACAGCCTCTAGCGAATTTTTATTTTGGGAGAAGATCATGGTATGCTCAAAGAACTAAATCTTGAAAAGCGTAATTACTTGGGCAATAAATCTTAGGGCTATTAATAACCAACATCAAGGCTGATTGGTTGTTCAATGTCTTGCTGTTTTGATCTTTCTTTCTTTAATTTCATATACACTATACTTAATCTCAACTGAGATGTAAAGATGGCAATGTTGATTTTATTTATTTATTTATTTATTTTTCTTTGCTGTGAAGTGTATATACTGTGAATGGAAGGGCTTCTTTGGATGGACTTGTGATTTACGTGCTCTCCTTGGAAAATCTTTGAATAAACGAGAGTCAACTTCATTGAAAATGGTAAATTCAAAACCCTTTACCTTCTTAATTAGCTTGTTTCTTAAGAATGGCACACTATTTGTTTGCTAAGTGTTCATGCAGTTCTGTATGAAACAAGTTCTCTTTCCTATGTGGAACCCTGCTTTTAGACCATTCAAAAGGATTGCTATTAGTTGACGGAAAACTTGAGTGGTTTCTCGTAGATGTTAAAATATCTCACTCTTAATTGATTGTGTCTTTTGACAGATTGAACTTTTATTGTTTTAAGTTCTCTTAAGGAACAGAAACACTGTTTGTTAAGAGTTCATGCTGTTCTGTATAAAACACGTTCTCTTTTCTATGTGGAATCCTGTTTTTAAACCATTCAAAAGGATTGCTATTGGTTGATGGAAAACTTCAGTGGTTTCTCATAGTTGTTAAAATATCTTACAGAAACATGATTGTCTTTGACAGATTGAACTACTCCAATGTAATTATACTGCCATGTGAAATAGAGCTTGATGTTGCAAATAGCAATCCTGCATGGCCTTTTTTTATCAAAATGAATAATAGTGAGCCTCAAGAATTTAAACAAGTTGCTTGAATAAAGTGCCTACATACAAGTTTTTTGCTTTGGTTTTTTGGCCGGAACCTACATAGAAGTCCAATAACTGTAATTAAAATGAATTTATGCTTCCTTAAATTTGTATTTTTTGTTTTTTGAATGGAATTCAGGATCCATGAAATGGCGTATTTTTATCTTGATTGTATCAAAGCATTTGATTTGGTTCTGTTTTATCTTTAAACTTTGCAGGCTCCTTTTATTCTTTTTGAAGGTGATCAGTGGCTCAATGTGAACCTAGTGGGATCCAGGCATCCCCTACCTCTTACTACAGTTTATCATCAGTTCCACTCTAATACGTATACATTTTTTCAGGCATTGTTTGGTCTTAATGAATTTCCTGTAAGTTTAGAAAAAGTTTGTTATTTTTTGTTGCTTCTTCTTATCTTCCTGAAAATATATGACCATATATGTGAGCTAAAAATTTTGAACTTGCTATCTTCTTTTGTTGTGGCATTACTTTTTCTATTGATATGTCAGTAATATTGTTGTTTAATTGACCTTTAAAGGTTGGTCTGCTTGATGAGAAGAAAATTCTTCCATTAGGAGAGGAAATTAGTGCTGTTGGCATCTGTAGTTTCAATGATGGAGTCCCTGAAATCAAGTCATGCAATGAGCTTCCTTATTTTCTGTAAGTAGGTTTATTCTAGAAAGCATTCTGTTAGCTTTACCAATTGACTTGCAAATTTTCTTGCTCTTGATTTGGGCAAAATTTTTTCCTCTAAAATTTTTTGTTCCTTATGAGACATAGCTGTTGCTTTAAGTATGTTATTTCTTTATTTTGTTTTGTTTTTGTTTTTGTTTTTGTTTTTTTGATTTTTTTTTTTTGTTTTTGGGTAGATATCACTTTGAATTCTCAACCTTTCTGATTGATTTTGGTCTTAATCACTTTGCTTGTTTCTATCTGGTCTAACCATTAGGTTTATTGCTAAATTGTTTGGAGAAGTAATGGAGTATGCCCAAGAGGCTAGAGATAGATATCACTTTGAATCCTCAACTTTTGTGATTAATTTTGGGCTTAGTGGTTTTGCTTTTTTCTCTCTGGCCTAACCATTAGGTTTATTGTTAGTATACCCCAGAGCAAGAGGCTAGAGACTATTGAATTGGTAAAAGAACTACTGAACCCTGTTAAAACAGTTAGAAAGGTTCTGTACCCAATTGGCTAAAAGGTATCATAGTGTAGTCTGCATAGGCTTCATTTTGGCATTTTTCTGGATTTCTCCATCCAATTTAATAGGTGGATTAACATGTGGGCCTAATTGAAACGATTAAACT